AGGTTATATTGTTGCCAAAAGATTATCTGCGCAGTCAGAAATATTTAGGCGATTTACACCGTTCCGGCCTTGTTTTATCTTCAAGGATAGCTTTTTGTATCACTGAAGGCCATGATGAACTTTCGATGGAAGGACCAAGTGCCAGGGATTACGAAAAGTAAGGTAGGGGATTCCAGATAAACTAATACTGTTTAGAGATGATGACAACAATGACTGTGATGTTGACAAGGATGATGTAGATGAAGATATGACGATGGTATTGATCATGAGAATAGGGATAAGGGTGAGTACAGTGAAAAAGGACGGCATCAAATGTCAGGGATTAGTTTCTCTGGGATCCTGAAGATGGAATAACTCCGAAACGTTGAACAACATCGTAATATTTCTTACTGAGCAGGTAATCTTTTGTCAACAACATAACCTTATTGTCAGGTTTGTATTTCGAGCAGAAGTGGGCAACTGAAAGCTACGACCTTCTTGTTTGAAATTGTTCGCTGCTGTTATTTGTCTATAGGCACGAACTGCCCTCAGAACGTACTAACCACAACAAATGTTGATTCTTCATGAATGTCGAATTCACGTGTTATTCAACAGACCGTCCTGTCCATGTTCTATCCAAAACACCATTTTTTAATCAGTTCAGTGCTGTGATGAATGACTGCGTGCTATTTGCAAAATTATTTACAAAATTTTAGTTGATACCAATAATAATCCAAAAAACTTCGAGTCGAGGTTTTTTTTTCAATATCTCTCAATAACTCATCCCTCCGCCTTTGTTCCGACTCGTTTCTTTGATTTCCTTCCTTTGCAGTCATTACGAAAGGCTGATTTACTTCTCCAATTGAGTTTCTGGAAAACTATTCAAGTGAAGTTACAGATATTGCTACGCCTTGTGCAATGCTATTTGGCTGTAGCAATTTGCAACACATAATAGTAATTCCAATTTATTTGTGAATTACAGTTACGAAAAAACAGAACCAAAAGTCGATCTTGTATATCAGGCAGCACTTGCTTCCTGAATTCATTCTGAATGTCTGAATACCTCTGAAGACCTCGATACGGTATTGTCAATGACAACTAATTAGCAGCTTTTTATTGCAGTATCACCAAACACGAAATTAAGCTAGCATTCGGAGTGTTTCAACAACGAAACTAATTGTTTTCACTGCTAGAAAAAGAATTGAAGTTCTTCATCGAAGAGATAGAATATGTTCCTCGCAACTAGATGGTAAAGTGAGAAACACATTCGACACAAAAAAAGTGCCCATAGAAACCGATTGATAACGAAGCCGTCAACAAGTTGTGAAGATTACACTATGAAAAATCGTCTGGTTTATTGCTTATAGTGTGAATCGCTTTTCACGTGGAAGTTCAAATCTTATCAGTGTTTTTCACGTGTTCAATGTATTCATTTCTTCTCATAATATTGCAATTTGTTCAAACACGAAGACACATAACCGTAAACATCTACTCGTCTAGATGCAAAACTCAGGAGGGCACTCTTGAAGAGGAACTTGTTTATTCGTTTACTCCTGTTGTCCTTCAGCTGCTGCTCACATGAATCAATCCGTAGCAATTTTTTCTTTCTGTGCTCGAGAAAAAATTATATTCATGGTCATCAAAAGTTCGGGATTAGTTGTGATGTACATTCCATGTATCAGCAGTTTGTACGTTCCTGTTCCCAATTCCTTCTCCGTGAGTAAACGTTTAAAAGTATCGCCGACATCTCAGTGCTGCTCCATTGTATTTCAGTTATTCGCTTACTGCCTTCCTGGTGTCGCATATTCCTTACTCAGATCGATGCCTTCATGATTAGAAACATTCATTCATTCAGAATCGATCTAATGCCACCCAGAATTTACTCAACGTTCTGAAATATCTTTCGAATCAATCCGAATGATCTCTCCTCCTGTCACGCATAATATTCAAGTTAGCATTTCAGTGCACAGAATGAGAACCATTCGTTTTTTTAAGAGGGCTGAAACTAATCTCCTAATGGTTCACTGAAGTTTGTGCGTGCTTTCATTAACTGCAAAATCATCGAGACGGTAATATTTTTACTGTAATCGAGTATTCGTTTGGACGGTAATATTCCTTTGAATTGCACTTGCGTCGTAATTTCTGTTTGTTTTAGTTGATGATAATTTTTGGGTTCTTTTTTTTTGAATGTGCTCGTCGGGCGATCAATTTTTTTTT